AAAGCATCACTGATGAAGAGAGGTTAGGGTAGCCAGTAATGAGCAGAACTGATGAAAACATTGTAAAAATTCATCAAATCATGCATCAAAATCATTGGCTAACTGTGAGAAGCATAGCAGATCAAGTAAATATTGATAGGGAAACAGGAAAATCTCAACTGAAAATCGTGGCAAGAAAAAGGTATGACTCTTGTATCATGACAATGCACCAGCTCACACAGCACAATCTGTGAGGAGATTTTCAGCTGGTGAATCAATAAATGTATTGGTACACCCTTCCTATTCCTCTGATCTGTTCCTCAAGGACTTTTTTCTTTACCCAAAGATAAAGGAAATATTGGACAGAAGACATTATTATGACATTCAGGGCATCAAAGATAATATTATGATAGCTTTGATAGCCATTCCAGAAAAAGAGCTTGAAAATAGCTTTGAAGGGGGGACTAGGTGCTGATACTGGTGCATAGCTTCCCAAAGGGAGTAGTTTGAAGGTGACCATAGTGATGTTCAGCAGTGAGGTATATGGCACTTTATGTAGGATGAGTTCATGAACTTGATTGTTAGACATTGCATATGATCCACTGTATGTATAGAGACACACATATATATACACACATATTACACCCATATACACATACACAGACTATATGTATGTGTGTATATATATATGTTTATAGATCCTAACAGGATCTATGTCTATCCGATTTATGTCTGTATTTATATCATCTGTATAGACACGTATATGCATGCAGGGTTAATGGCTCAAGGGGATTACAAGCTTCCCAGGACAGATAGTTCTTAGTTCTGTCTCTTGTAAAATAAGCATAAAACTAAGTAGTTTTAGAAGTCTTATGTTTTCAGAGAAGGAAGGGTTTTGAAGAGCATCAACTTCAAATCCCTCTCTAGTAGTGGTAGTGGTGGTTGGGTAAAAATAATACCATTATTATTACTATAAAAAAATCCCAAGGTCACCAGAGACTGAATGATCTACTAAAGGTCATATATCTAGTTAATATTGTATCCAGAACTAGAACTCAGGTCTCTTAACCTTAGTTCAATATATATCATGATATTTATGCTTGATTCTTGGAGGAAGTACTGCTCCTTCTTTCCCTGTCCTTTTCTCATTGTTAATGCTATTTTTAATTTTTTTTGTTGGTTTTTATATCTTTTAGCTTGGTACTTGTTGAGCAAGAAGAGGAAAATATAACACTGTTCTCCAATTAACTCTCATAAGAGCATCATTGCATATTGGATCTAAATTTGATTTTATACATAAAATGCCTTGAAAAATAAACAAATGAACTTTATTATGTAGAAACTTTATTATACATTAGAATGATACTTTCTTATGCCTAAAATGGCACTACAATTAAAAATGAACTGATCTTTTTTTATAACTTTGGCAAAATTTAAAGGTAACATTTGTAAATATAAGTAGACTCAAATAGAACTACTACTAGCAAGCTCCCAGGTCTTGTAGAGGATATAAAACTACATGTTTTTAGTAAAATTACCTAGGAAAATACGTGCTTAAACATAATTGAAGCTGTGATAAGATTTGATAAATATTTGTATATTTATATTTCTTTCAGAATTATTATTTTCTTAACCAAAGTATAATTCATGTTCTTTAGCCACTTGCCAAGATATTTTAAGTCCCTTACACTGACGTATATTAAATGTATGGTCTTATTATTAATTTTGAGGTAATGATATTCTGACATTTTATTCACATATTATTTATTCAAATATATCTTTAATCTCCTGTTATTTTCCAGGCACTGTGACTAGCTGTGAGGACATACATGCTCTCTTTCCCCATGTAGTTGTCAGTTCAGTGGGCTGTCTTTTATGTTGAATTATTTTTGAGATAAGCAATAAATTCATAAAGTCAAAACTGAAATCAATATAATTTACCCTCAAGCTAACAATATAAACCAGTTCAAAGACAAAAGTCTGAATTTTAAGGATTTTGAAGGTTAGCATTAGTGTATTAACTATCAGTTACAGATGGCTTATGCTTTGGAACATTATCATTTTTCATTTTATTTATCATGAAGAAATATGCTCACAGCAAGAGGGATTGTTTAAAGTTGCATGGAGTTATAGCACATACACATTAAAATGCTCTAAATTTTATCACAACTAAACACATTCCTATTAAGGCATCATTAAAAAATCACTTTTTTTTTTTTTTTTGCAGTTTTTGGCTGGGATTGGGTTTGAACCCTCCATCTCTGGCATATGGGGCTGGTGCCCTACTCCTTTGAGCCACAGGTGCTGCCCAAAATCACTATTTTTAATGTCTTTTGTTAAGGAAATACAGTTGTAAGTTTGGGATTGACAGCCTAAAAGATCAGCAATATTGTTTTTGTTATTTCCTCATTTACTGGTTGAAATATTAACTTTCTCAGTACCTCAGGAGAGGTTGTTAAAATATGAAACTAGTGGGTTTTTTTAGTACAATTAATTGCACAAAAACATTTATGATTGTATCAAAGTACATTAAGTCACTGTGATTGTGTCAGATTATAATCAGTGAGTCTAAAATACTGACTCCATCTTCAATTTTCAAGTTATACAAAATAACTGTGTTGTACTTTTCCAGTCTAATTGAGAAGGTGCTAAGCTGGAAGTCAGGTATTTCAGCTTCTAGTTCCTATGTGGATACTAGGTAGTGCTATGAGTTTGACCAGCTCACTTCACTTCTCTGTATCTCACTTTATTCATTTATAGAATGGGGACTAGACCAGAATAGCCCTTCAGGACTTTTCACATTCTCACAGGCTATGTATTGTTTCTTGGGTAATAGTTATTATTCTATTCATAATTTTAGTTCTGAACCCTAAATCAAAATAAAAATGTTTCTCTTTTACTAATTACAAAATAACAATATCCCTGGGGAAACCACTTTTCCCAATACCTCCATCACCCCACCTGATGCTGAAATCATTTGAGCAACAATTAAGACTTGACACAGCCTGAAAATAGGACTCTTAGCTTAGAGATCAATTACACTTTACAAGATATTTAATTAAAAATTTTAAGTATTAGAATTCTTTAAATTTTCTCACCTCTCTGCTCCCCTCCCCTCCACTGGTTTCATTTTTTTTTAATGATGTCATGTTCTCTCTTTACCCTTGACTACTCTCTAATATCCCCCCTTCATTTATTTAATCATCAAATTATTTCTTCTTTTATACTATTTTTTGTATTAGAAAAACAAACAGTTTTCTCTACTTTACACACTTCACTTCTGACACTAGATGTGTGGGTCTTATTTTCACACCAAGCGATTCTTCAATTCTCTGTGAACACCACCTGGGTTCGACCTGCCTGGAGTTAGTATTAGTCCCCACAAGTTGAGGTTTCAGTCTGACAAAATAGCCTCCACTTCAGACATCAATCACAAGTCCCAGGTTGTTACCTGTATTTCTGACCAACCAGCTAGAAATCAGGGCTCCTCTGACCCCTCCTTGTATTTGATAATTTGCTAGAATGGCTCACAGAACTCAGGAAAACATTTACTTACTTTTACCAGTTTATGATAAAGCATATCATAAAGGATCCAGATGAACAGTCAGATAAAGAGGTACATAGGACCAGATCTGGAAGGGTCCCGAGCACAGGCACTTCTGTCCCTGTGAAGCTGGGGGGCACTGTGGAAGAACATGTTCATCAACATGGAGCTCTTCAAGTTTTGTATTTCAGGGTATTTTATGGAGCCATGGTTGATTATTGACTCCTTGTCTAGCTCTGTCCTCCTGAGAGGGTGGGGGTGGGGCTGAAAGTTCCAAGCTTGTAATCATGGCTTGGTCTTTCTGGTGACTATCCCCCATCCATTAGCCTGCCAAGAGTTTCTTCATTAGAACAAAAGATACTTCTGTCACCCAAAAATTTCAAGGGAGTTAGAAGCTGCGTGTCAGGAACCCAGCACAGAGATAATATAGTTCTCATTATTTCACAAATTTAAACATTTTGTCCTTCCTTTCCTTACTGCTCTCATATTCTAGGTCAGTGTTTTTTAAAGTCTTGTCCATAGACAACACATCCAAATCCACCAGAGTTCTCATAATTGAAATCACTTGCAAACACCTATTAGTGTAGATTTCTGAGAGTCCATACCTTCAGAACCCAAATCTCTGAGGATAGGGATCTGGATCCATTGCTATCAAGTACCCATTTCAATATACCCAAGAATTCATGTTTTCTTACATAGACTGGATGTGGGTAAAAAACTAATATGTACTGAACTAGTCATGGACTGCTGCCTTTGTGTGTTGTGTCCAGATCACATAGCATCTGGCTTTAGAACAGAGCATTACCTGACATCTCTTATTCTCAACCTCTAATGTTTCTGTCAAAACTCAGGGGCAGGAGAAGTCTTGCTTAACATCCTGTTACACTTAATTTAATCCATTTGTCCTACCTTGGTAAGATTTCTAAATATTAATGAATACATGATTAGTTAATTTAGGCATGATTAGCTTCATCACATTTTAGTTTTTGTTCTTACAAAGATTTAGCTCAGAAAATACAATATTCCCTAATAAAATTCTCTAGTTGTTTCAGAGGGAGATACTTGAAATTCCTAATTTTCTATGGTATCTCTTCCTATAATATTCTCTTAATCCTTTTATTTAATTAAGTCCCTCTCTTTTTGTCTCATAAAGGATCTTTTCTAGGGGGCAGAAATTTCTATATTCTAATTGATTGTATTTATTCCATAAAACTATTCACTGTTGCTATTGGTAATACATCCTCTCCCCACCCCCACACACCCCCACATGAACCACTTTGGGTACCAGAGCATTGTAGCAGAGAATTTGGTTGTCTCAGGGAACACGTTAGTTGTTGAGATAGGAGCGATGGTGGCAGAATCCTTGGTAGAGTGTGGGCAGTCCTGCCAGGCTATATGGAAAACAATCATTTTATTTGAAACCTGTGCTTCTATGTGGAAAAAAGGTGTCAATCTCTAAATGACATTTTCATTACAGACATAAAGGAGATGAATCCCAGAAGTGGGTGTTTGGAACTGATGGCTGCATTTATTCTAAGGTAAGGACTTTATAAGCTACAGCTTTTATTCCTAAGTTTTTCTATTCCCAGATTCTTAAGAAATGTACTGTCTATTATTGAGAGCAAGAAATGTTTTTTATGCACAAATCATTTCACTCTGTGTCTAGATGCTTAGAATTTAACTTAACTCAATACTTTCCTTTGAGGTTTTGTTTGATTTGATTTAAAAACACAAATTTTCCAAAACCAAAAATAATTGCCCCCAATTCACTGTTGTGATAGACCCAGCATTTCAGGTGTTCAGTCTGTTAATCATTAAAATGATGAGATGATTGGAAGTTTGGAAAATTGGCAGTATCTAACAAAACTGAACATAACTATATAGCCCAGCAATTCCCCAAATAGTTATATATGCTAACAGAGATATGTACATATCTTAAGGGCAAGATATTTACTACAATGTTAATAGCAGGACTAATTGTAATAGCCTTAGATTGTGGATTACTCAAATGCTTGTCAGCATTAGAAGGGATAAATAAATTGTGATATAAAGTATATATTCATTGGAATACTAGATGGTACAGTTGGCAAACTTCTGGGTTGGGTCTAAATTTCCTTCTTTTTGTAAGGACATCTGTCATATTGAATTAGGGCCCATTTCAATGACCCCAGTATTAACTTGACTATCTGCAAGGAACCTATTCCAAAGAAGGTCACATTCACAGGTGCTAGGGGTTAGAATTTCAACACACCTGTTTTTGTGACACTGTTTAGCCTATAATGCATAGTGTGTCAGTTCTGAATTTACTGCCATTCAGTTCCAAATCTCCCCTTCATTGTCTGGCACCTGCTGTAGGCAGCTTTGAAACAAAGTGCTGCCAATGGGGCACATTCTTATGTTTTCCTTAAACATATCCCTCTTGGGTGGTGTCATAGGTTTACTTATGCTACTATAACAAAATGCCACAGACTAAGTTAAAAAAATATGAAAAATTATTTCCCATTGTTCTGGTGACTAGAAAGTATAAGATCAGGGCACCAGTAGGTCTAGTTTCTGATAAGAGCTGCTTTCTGCTTCCAAGATGGCATCTTATTACTGCATCCTCTGGGAGGGAACAAATGTTATATCCTCCCATGGCAGAAGGGACTGAAGGGAATGAGCAGACCCTCTCAAGACTTTGATAAGGGCCCTAATCCTACTCATGAGGGGTCCAACCTTAGAGGCCTGATCTCTTAATACTACCACATTGGCAGAGTTTCAACACAAGTTTTGAGGAACACATTCAGACCATAAGATTCACCCCCAGCCCCCAAATTCATGTCCTTATATGCAAAATACATTCATTCCATCCCAGAACCCCCAAAGCCTTAACTTGTTCCTATACCAACTCAAAAGTCTGAAATCCAAAGTCTCATTTAATTATCACCTAAATTAGTTAATGGGTAAGGCTCAAAGATACAATTCATTCTGAGGTAAACTGCTGTCCAGATTTGTGCCTGCAAAATCAAACATGTTTCCAAAATATAGTAGTGGGACATGCATAGTGTAGATATTCTCATTCCAAAAGTTTCCAAGAAAGTCCCAAACCCAACAAGGCAAACAACATTAAATCTTGAGGCCTGAGAATCACCTTTTGTGACTCCATGTCCCACCTGTTGGACACACTGGAATAGAGACTGGGTCTCCAAGTCTCCAGGTATCCTTATACTCATGGATTTGTTGGGTTTAGACCACACTGTAGATCTCATAGGTTGGAACCTCATACTTGTACCTCTTCCAGGCTGGAGTTAGATACTGGTGGCTCTACAGTTCTGGGTTATTGGGGGTGGTTCTGCTCTCACTGTTCCACTAGTTATTGTCTTAGTGGAGACTCTGTGGTAACTCTGCCCCATGACAGTTTTGTGCCTGGGCAAGCTTCTCTGAGGCATACTTTGAAATCAAGGTGGAAGTGATACAGGGTTACCCCTATTCAGGGATGGACAGGAACCCCTCTTTCCTAGGCCTGGGCAATTTCATGTAAGGTGGATATCTTCTGAAGTGGACTCACTGATGTTTTGCCTGGAGCTGGAGGGATTGCATTCATTTGTTAATATACTCATCAACATTGAAAAAGTGTCTTCCATCTGACAAGTCCTGGCCAACTGTAATTCTCAAGACCTTCTATCAGTCTAGACAGAAGACCCCTGGGAGATTTCCCACTTTAGTCTTTCTCTTTACAGAAGCCCTGGTACTTTTTATTCCTTCTGTATTCCTTTCTATCTAAAAAATTCTATCTTACCACTAATCTGTGGTCTGTGGGTTCATTCTTCAAATCTCTAAGACCAAGGACCTACTACAGGAAGAAATTCCCTCAACAGAGATAGATAGGCCTATACAGTTCATGCACTCTGTGTACTTGCAGTGGTAGTACTGTGGATACTTTGCTAGAAAGCAAAGGCTCTATCATAGTGAAGGGGTCCCAAGTGGATTGCCACTTTTGGCTTTCTGTCTAGGGGTTTATATACGGTTTCTAATCATATCTCCTTCCCTACAGGCGGGGGCTTTGGGGAAATATATCGTATATGTAAAATATGTCACAGCCATTGGCACCAAAGGCCTGTGGGCAGAAGTTCATTTTAAAACTGCCATTTTGTAGGAATGTGTAGATGTTTTAAGTGTTTCATTCTCCCCCAGACAGTGGTGGCTTAGATGGAACCTTGGTCAAACTTTTTTATGAGGCTGCTTAGACTCAGATAATGGAGTCTGTGTCCAGCCCTAGGTGGAGGCAGCCTACTTCATGACTATTTAAATAACCTCTAACAAGATTTAGGCTCTGTCTATAGTTTCCATCTTCTTCTGAGTTCTCCCAGAATCTCCCTTTATGGTCTGTTCATGGCAATATAGGACTTTTCTAGCCTGCTCCCCAAAACTCTTATAGCCCTTGTCTATTATACAGTTCCAAAACTGCTTCCACATTTTCAGCTATAAGTTATACCAACACCACATTTCTTGGTACCAATTTCTGTCTTAGTTTCATGTATGCTACTATAACAAATTACCACTGACTGGGTAATTTATAAACAATAGAAATTTATTTTTCACACTTCTGGAGACTGAGCGAATATGTGTGACCATAGTCTGGGGAGCCATACACAAAAAGCCTTAAGCAAACAGTCCCAGGGTGGTTGGGTTACATTTTGGTTTTCTGCATTTTAGAGAGATAGATATTGCAGGTAAAATCATAAACCAATATATGGAAGATATACACTGGTCTGGTTCCAAAAGGTAGGACATCTCAAAGTGGGTGCTTATAGGTCATAGGTGAGTTCAAAGATTCCCTGATTTTTAATTCCTTAAAGAAATGAAGCTTTGCCTAGGCCAGGCACAGTGACTCATTCCTGTAATCCTATTACTTTGGGAGGCTAAAGTAGGAGGATCTCATGAGGCCAAGTGTTAAGAACCAGCCAGGGTAACATAGAGAGACCCCATCCCTATAAAAAATAAAAAAATTAGCTTGATATGGTAGTATGAGTCTATAGCTCTAGCTACTCAGAAGGCTGAGGCAGAAAGTTTGAGGGTGCAGTGAGTTATGATGATGCCACTGCATTCTAGCCTAGGCATCAGAGTAGGAGAAAAAATTTTTTTTGTTTAAAGGCTTAGAGTGTTAAGATAAGGAACTCTTTCAAGATCATGGGCAGCCAGAGAAGATGGCAGCCAAGTAATAGTTTCTTTGCAACTAGGTACAGTGAAATTAGGGAGAGAAGACTCCAGGCATCTTTGGCTGGTGGGATCTGCCCAGAAACAGCCCTTTGGAGACATAGGGAGATAGTGAGAGACTTCTAGACTCCATGAGGAGGATAAAAACAGTGGAGAACCTGCAAGTGGTGGGTGCATTTGTTGGGTCGGAGGCCACTCACAGCTGTAACTTTAGGAACAGTGAGAGTGTAAACAGGACAGGCCTTGCATGAGGGATGTTTTGTTCTTTTGGACTTGGGCACGCAATTGAACTACATTGGGAGATCTTGGGTGAGAGTACAGATGACTTTGAGCATTGTCTAGGGCCCTGGACTGAGCTGTGAGCTGGAAGGGAGCTAATATTGTTCAGCTGTGGACTACTAGCACAGCCACTGTGGGAGGACTGCCCCTGCAGGCTTCACACTCAGGGCTGCAGTGTGAGGATTGGTTGAGAGATCTTGGGCAAGTAATCTAGTGACTGAGCAGCCCAAAGGCAGGAACTGAGACACTGGGGAAAAGAGGAGATCTCAGTGTTTGGCAGATTACAGCCTTGACCGTCAGGGGCATAGAGTGAGACTGGTTTGGGCACGCTAGATAAGCAGGCAGCCACTTCAGGAGAGATCCCAGTGACAATTGCTTTCCTGGGAAAGGTTCTGCTTAGCCAAGGATAACAGCTTACAGTGTTTTTTTAAGTAGGCTGAGGAGACATTTTTATGGGGTTTGAGAAATCACCAGAGGCCTTTAGGATCCATTTTGTACAGCTGTATCAGCATTGTGATTAACATCTCATACCCCAGAAGATCACCTGTTGCCCAGATAATTTTCAGCAAGATATATATATATATATATATATATATATATACTGTTTTATCTTTTGGTTTTGGATTTTTTTTTTTTTAATTTCAACATTTTCCCTCTGGATTTTCCTTTTTTTCTTTTTCATTCTTTTCTTTCTTCATTTTTCTAGTTTAAATACAATTTTCCATTGTTGCTTTTTTTTTTAACAATTAGAACCTCATTTTTGCTAGTGTTTCTGCCCCTATTATTTGGTTTTTCCCCCAATTTTATCCCATAAGGGTTTTTGTTTGTTTGTTTTGGTTTGATTTATAGTATTTTTGTCTTTCCTCTCTACCTGGTAGAGGTGAGATACTGTGTCTGAACAGGCTGACAAAGAGCCACTGACCTCAAGGGAAGCATCCAACCCAGCAACCCCAGAGGTAGGGGGTGGTTTAAGATTGGGTCAAAGTACCCTACTATACACCTATATTACTCCTGTCTTCCTCTTTTTGAGCCTCTATTCTTTTTGTCTATATTCCGTTTTACT